CCCCAAAACCCCAAAACCCCAAAACCCCACAATGAAAATATTAAGTGATCTAGATGATTTCTAAGTTAAAGGTAAATATTTAATAAAATGGAATAAAGTAAATCGTAAGATATTTTAAAACAAGAGACTCGAGAGACTTCATAAAGTATGCACGCTCCGAAGACAATCTAGAGATCAACACTAACTTCCACTTTTATCAGCTAAGAAGAGCATTAACATACTGAAGATAACTACAGCATAAAGAAGACTTCTTCGTATCAAGATTAATTATCCAGAAGATAAACGCTTAAGACTTATAATAAGGTAGAATCCTTTGATAATCTTAGTGCTGATAAAAAACGAAGGTAGTCCGTTTGCAGCCAGAGATCTGAAGACGGAAAGTCTGAGGCTTAGCTGTATAGGGTAAATTAAATATTAAAATACATTTATTTAGCCTGAATTTCGATACAAGAATGGTCCTGAGGATGAGAAATTTAATGCAAAATTATGGGCACTAATGAGTAGCTATCTTGGACATGAAAGATGGTTTATATAAAAACAAATTATTAACCACATTGAATACACAGTAGTTAAGAGTAGATTTAATTTTGACAATGGCCATCTTTCACAGGCAGTAGCCTCATCATTGAGAGATAGACTTATTGAATGTTTCAATGATACAAACTAACATTACACTGTAATTTAATCATGAATCAATCAAAATACTACTAGGACCATGATCCAAAGAGAGTTTATTATTTGTCAGCAGAATATCTACAAGGAAGGATGATGCAGAATATATTAGTCAACTTGAATTTAGTAGATCAGTACAGAGAAAGTCTGATGGATTTAGGATACAAACTAGAAGATCTATATGATTATGAATGCGATCTGGGTCTTGGAAATGGAGGACTTGGAAGATTAGCGGCTTGCTTTTTGGATTCAATGGCTACCTTAGAATTGCCAGCTTGGAGTTATGGAATAAGATACCATTATGGAAACTTCAAATAATACTTGACTTAGAATTTAGGAAAGTAAATAGAAATCCCGAATTTTGGATACTCCAAGAAAGTACCTTGGGAAATCTAAAGATATGATGTTGTTTATCCAGTATAATTCTATGGTGAAGTCAAAAAGACCAAAATAGAGGTGAATGGGATAACCATTGAGAAGAGTAAATGGTAAAAAGGCGAAATCGTGAAGGCAATGGCATACGATACACCAGTTCCTGGCTATAACACATTTAACACTAATTGTCTCAGATTATGGAGTGCTTAACCTTCTTTTGACGAAGCTAATAAAGAATATCACTGCTAGACTGATGATGATTATATTAATCTAGTTAAAACCAGGCAAAGAGCAGAAAGGATAACAAGTATACTTTATTATAAAGCAGATAAGTATCTTGTAGAAATACAGGAAGCTTTAATAAAATAGCAGTACTTTTTCTGTGCTGCTACTATCAAAGACATTGTTAGGAGATTCAAGAAGATCCATAAAAACAATTTTGAAATATTTTCAAAGAAGATTGCTATGTAGTTGAATGATGCTCATCCAGCTATTGCCATTGTAGAGCTAATGAGAGTTTTAATAGATGAAGAAGAGCTTACTCTTCATCAAGCTTGGCTAATAACTTGCAATACCTTTTCTTATACTTCTCATTCAACTGGAATGGAATTCAAAGAAAAGTGGCCTGTTGATCTTGTTTACAAAATATTACCCAGACATCTAGAAATCATTACCTACCTGAATTACTTTTTTGTCGATAAAGTCAAAAAGGAATTTCCTGATGATTTAGCTAGACAAGGTAGGATGAGTATAATTGAGGTAGGAGGTGAGAATTTAGGCTTTATCAGAATGGCTTATATTTGCTTTTTGGCCTCTCATAAAGTTAATGGGGTCTCAATGGAGCATACCAATCTTTTGAAAAATATTATCTTTAGAGATTTCAATCAGATGTATCCTAATAAGATTATTTCAATCACAAATGGTGTAAGTTAGAGAAGATGGATATAGTGCGCTAATCCGGGACTAGCAAAGCTAATAACAGAGAGATTAGGAGGAGATGAAGAATGGCTCATTAATCTTAATCTGGTTACATAACTTAATGGCTGGAAACAGGACAAGGATTTCATAATTTCATTTCAAAAAATAAAACAATAAAACAAGCAGAGGCTAGTTAAATATCTGCTAGAAAATGAAACGAATAAAAAGATACTATCTAAATATGTTGAACCATTTATGAAGGGTCAAGAAGATATTATGATAGATGTAATGGCAAAGACTATTGGATAGACTAAAAGGCAAATAATGTACTTGTTCTATATACTAATGAAGTACATCAGACTAAAGAATAACCCAGATTCTTGCTTGGGTAAATAGATTTTTATTCTATCTGGTAGAGCTCATCCTCATAATAAAGACTCAAAGTCCATACTGCAATTCATACATAAGGTAATGAACATTGTAAACAATGATGAGCAAGCAGATAAACTCATGAAGGTAGTTTATGTTCCCAACTATGGTGTTAGTGTTTGTGAAAAGTTTGTTGCTGCTTGCGATCTAAGTTAGCATATCTCAACTCCTGGCACAGAAGTAAATTAAATGAGATAATATTTTATTATAGCCAAGTGGAACTTCAAATATGAAATATATAATGAATGGAGGACTGATTGTTGGAAGCAGAGATGGAGCGAACCTTGAGATTGAAAAAGAAGTTGGCCAATCTAGTATATTTATATATGGATCTGATAAAATCAAACTCTATGCTTATCATAAATTTGTAAGTTAATCACTTGTTGACATTTTCAGATTAAGAGAATGCCTCCTGGTGCATCTCATATTGATATATCCCTAAAAAGAGTATTTGATTTCATAAAAGAAAACAGAGAGAAATATTAACTAGAATATGCTTGCGATTAATATGTTATCCCAATGGAATAACTTAATGATCCCTAAGGAATCTGTCTTGACTACTTATCATATAGCCAAGCCAATGACGAAGCACATAAGATTTATTATAACTACTATCAAAAGAAGAATAAGCCAACTTATGCGGCTAGTAAATCTAGTTCAGTATTTTTGGAAAATAATGAATGGACTGCAAGATCTATTAATTGTGTTGCAAATAGTGGTAAGTTCTCAAGTGACAGAACCGTCAGTGAGTATTCTGAAGAAATTTGGGAGGTCTAGGAGCTATCTATACCAAAAGGAGCCCCTACACCTGTTGAGAGGATAAAGAGTTTCCCAAATATTACCAAAGAGGAAAAAATGAGAGAAAAGATGAATACGACACAAGCACCTAGCAGTTTTATTAAGAAATGATTGATGCAAAATTGGTCTTGGAATATTTAATATTTTACCTTAATTTCATAATTCTAAATTAATCTACTACTAATGGGGTTTTGGGGTTTTGGGGTTTTGGGG